AAGCAGCTGCTGTGGTTTAGGCTACCTGGGGTCAGGGCCTCAGCTACAGCTGCTGCTTACCCCTGCGCCTCTTTTCCAGCTCCCCACCAATGCACTTTCTGCTCCCCTGCTTGCCCCTCTTCCTCCCCAACCTTACCTTTGCTCCACACCAGCAGGCTCCATCCATGCTGTAGCCTGGACTAGGCAGGAGGCAGAAGTAGCAGGGAGGCAGACCCAAACAGGGGGCAAGCTGCTTGACTTCCCTACACCACCTGTTGTCCCCTTGCAAGCAGTGCAGGATATATAAATTTTTCATTTATAGAATCTAATTAAGGGGAGTTCATCTCGTATACAGGGTTGTCTTGAATTCAAGTAAATATGGTACTTTACTTAACTGGATCCCAGGCTTGGGGAAGAGTTACTCGCATTCTTTGCTCTTTCACATTAGGGCACTATGATGGCTTTTAAAAAAATACTGCAGCTGCTGAAACCAACACTAAACTTGCACACACTTTTGGTTAAAATTCTGCATCATCCAAAACAAACCAGGTTTATCTCCCAAACTAACCTTGTGTGACCTTAATCTGCTCTACAAAAAAAAGCCCAATGTCCTGCCAACTTGACAACTGAGATTGGTTAACTCACAACCTGAAGATGAGAGTAATTCAGATAAACAGCAGCTATTCAGACTCATCTAACAATTTAAACAATGCTGAGGACCATTTTCCATGCTGTATTACAAGTCCCAACAGCAACCATATGTATGAGGGGCAAAAGGAGATACGTACATGTCTTTTATTTTTCAATTAAAAGAGAACCAAGAATCCATCAATGTATAAAGTTTTATAATTACTAACACATGAACAGTGATGATACAATGTCATCTATTTCTAGCATTCCCATTCTATTAGATTAATATCAGAACTGAACAAAGATCCACCAGAACTCAGAACACTGATATGCTTAAATCCTTGAGATTAGTTGGAAACAAAATACACACTATTAGGAGTTTACAGAGAATGCAGAATCATATCAAAGTCAGGAATGTCTTATTAGTATTGTCTAATTCCATCAACCTTTTTCACAAAGCAAATGTTAATTTTCATTTTTTAAAACAGTCACTGCACTCACTGAAGATCAAGCCAGATCTATCCATTAATACATTTATCCTGTCAGGGCAGGATTTTATCTTGATCTGGTCTCTTCTTGGTAACTTCTAAAGGAAGTTACTCCAGCTAGAAAAGAGGTTTTAATTAAAATACATATTCCATGTTTTATGGCAAAAACAAGCTCAGAAGTGAATAAGGAATGTCAAACTTGTTGAGTCCTCAAAAACATGGGCAGAACAGCAACACTTCTACCCATGAGCAAATTATAAACATACTCTATGGGTGCAAACAGACATAGCCCTTGTGCTTCAATAAAAATTTTTTATAGCTGCATAATTTGCAAGTAAACAGACATCCCTGTCCCTTGTCATGCTCCAACTGCCTCAAAATGTTTGTGAGACCAATGTAGTTACTGCTTGTGATGCCTTGTAATAGAGGATGTCTCAGTTTCTCTGCAGGGGGATTCCTAGGGCATAAATTTCATGCTGCTGCACCCTAACCCTGCTGAGGGACATTCAGGGCACATTTCAAGATGCTTTGCTCAACCCTGTCAGGGGATTCATAGGGTGTGCGTCTGCAATTTGGGAGAATCTCCTGCTTACATGGGTTGGCACAGGGCGCAGCGTGGAACACATGGCCAAGGAATCCTCTGCAGGCAAGGGAATGGCCATGGGGTTCAGACACATGTCCAAGACTGGGGCGTAGCACTCAAGGCAAGATTGGACCCCAGAAGTCCCAAGGGTGGCAGGGACTCGACCCTGCAGGACATCAACCCTGGAGATGTTGGTTTCTGCTGATCAATTGGTTCAGCTGTGCTGGGACACATCAACAACAAAAAATGACACCTTTCTGAAATGTAAGGGACCCTAATTACAAGATGCTAGGCAACTTTTCCTGGCATGCAATATCTACAATTTTGCATTCAGTCAGAGAAAAACTGTTTTTAAAGGGCACAAACTGGCTTTTCACATTTGCAGGGCACTTGGGATGCCAGGAATTCCACATCTTGTGCCCTTGAGCAGAGGAGTGGAAACATAAGTTTTAGTTTATGAACAATGCTAACATGCATTACATTATCAGCTCAAGTGTGCCAAGGTCTAATAAAATATCTTGCAAGCTTGCTATTTTCAGAAGTGGAGCCAGTGTCACTGATCACAATGTGCAATGTCAAATCAATAGTTATGTGTTGTACCAAAATCCAGTGTGCGCATTAATATTTATAAGCATTTCTTCCATGCAACTGCTAGGAAAGTTTGTCTATTCCATCGGGACATTCCATAAGGACTACTTGTACACTCTTGATATTTGATAGATGCTTCCCTGGCATACACAGTTTATTAACTCTATACTAGGATTCATTATCAGGTCTCTTAAGATCCACTGAACTCCCAACATACCATGGCATTGAAGGCCAAAGGTTGGCTACATGCTCAATAATCAGCGTTTACATTTATTTTGCTTTTTGACCAATATCTTCTTGCCCTTTTTTTTTTTTTTTTTTTTTTTTTTTTCC